CCTAAGGACCATAGTTCAAAATAGCATCTTGGGAGGGTCAACACCCTGCCTCCTTTTAAATAAAGGAAAATAAGTGCAGACCGATAAGGAACTTGATCTCCACTGAAAGCAACCATCCCACCTGTATAGAGACCCCTCTTTACCCCAGGGGTAGGGAAGGCTGGGTGAGCCTGTGCTGTGTGTTTAAATGGTAGCAAGCTCAGTGCATGTGAAGTGTGTGTGTGTGTGTGTGTGTGTGTGTGTGTGTGTGTGTGTGAAGGGTATGGGCGTGGTCGCCTACAAGCGAGTGTGCGGGTCTGTGTCTAGGGGTTCTGTTTTTTTGTGGTGATGCCCCTGCACACACTGGCTTCCTCATCCATTGTTCTCTACAGGCATTTTCTAGTTCCGCGTCCCCTTCCAGCCTTTACCTACAGCTGACTGGCAAGAAAAGGAGAGCGGAAAGCCTGAATTTCTGTGCGGTTCTGGGGTCTGAGGAAGGCTGCCGACCTAGCTAAGCCGCCTTCGTTCCAGACCCGCGAGTTCGTAGCAGGCGGGTTGGTCTCCAGTTAACTTGCAAAGTTCTTCAGGGTGTCGGGAGCGCGCTCTTGGAACTGTCCTCCACCAGGCCGGTTCCCGGTGAGGGCCCCTCCGTCCACTGGTGGCCCCTGCGGGACACTCTGCCGAGAAACCCGGCATCACTCACCCATTCAGACCCCCCAGTCCCTGCGCTTAAGGAAGCTCGGCACCGAGTGGCTTCCTCCCAAGCCACAGAAGCACTTTCGTCCAACACTCCCGACTTTAAGTAACAGTTTTCTTTGGGGGACGGTGTCCTGGTCAAAGAATTATTTATAGTTAAGCTCTTAGCATAGGTACTTTTCATATTCTCGTGTATTTAAAATGCCCGGGTCGATCTCAGTTAAACAAAGTTTGAAGTTAAAGAAAGAAAACTGGGGATGCAGGGGTGGGGTGGGGTTATTGCTGAGACCGTGTGGGGTGGGGGAAGATTCTCGTGGGAGCCCCACGCCAAGTGTTGCCTGGACACGATAGTACTGACCCTAAGACTTCTCCGCTCCTGATTCACGGACAGCATCTTTAGGATTATTTGGAAAATAACCCTCAGAAAAAGCTCTCGGGAGAGGGGAGTGAAAGTGGAAATGAGCGAAAAGAAAGCCCCCAGCCGGGACTGCAGAGCCCTTCAGCACCAGGGCTTGCCAAATGCTCCGTCAGAAAGAGGAAAGGAGACCCGGTGGTTCAGCATCTCCCGCAAAATGCGATGAGGAACGCTGTCTTCTATAGGCGGCTCCTTCCCCAGGCCTCCGGAACCCGGGGCTCTACCACAGTGCCGAGGCGAACCAGTGGGGAGGCTGCTGCAAAATTGAATTGTTTAGTTTCTCCAAACCGAATTACAAAGGTCCCTCCAAATAGAACTTTAAAGCTTCTGAGAACAGACAAAAAACAAAACCGATTTCATTTGGGAGCTGTGACCACGGAGAAAGGGTGTGTGTAATTCCAAAAGGACCCCCAAGCCCGCAGAAATCTCGTGGGGAGTGAGAAACTCTGTTTTCCTGAGCAGATCGGTTTAGGTGCGAATTGGAGTTGTAGTTTCAGAACTCCACGCCTGGCCCAGGCAGCACGAGCCATCCTTACACAGTACCACCGAGCCCTGCTGCTGGAGCCCTTGTTTCCGTCCAGCTTTGACTGTGAACTGCCGTGGAAGCTCGCTGATTTGGGGAAGGATGATTCTGCTACAGGAGGAACCTGGACACAAACCAGCCCGCAAGTTAATAAAAACCCAAGTGTGAGCCCGGCATAGTGGTACAAGCCTTTAATTCCAGCACTTGGGAGACAAGGGCCGGTGGATATCCATGAGTTCAGCTTGGTCTACAGAGCGAGTTCCAGGACAGCCAGGGCTACATAATGAATGAGACCCCGCATCAAGGGGAAAATAACAGCAACAACAAAAACCCAAGCGTTTGTTGACGTGTACTGACCATCAGGGGACTCAGGTTGCTCCAACTCCCCCAGCCTTCCTGCTAACTAGCCCCCCTCCCCCTCCCCTCCCCTCCCCTCCCCACCACTTGTTTCCTTGGCACTAGGTTCTTCAAAGCCGATCTCCCAGAAAACAAAACAAAACAAAACAAAAAACACTACTTTTGTGAGCTACAGGAAGCTATCAGTAGTAACAGAAAAGAGTTAATTTGTTCTCCCTCCCGTCAGTCCTTCCTTCCTCTTCCTTTCTCCCTTCTTCCTTCCTCCCTCCCTCCCTCTCTCCCTCCCTCCCTCCCTCTTTCCTTCCTTCCTTCCTCCCTCTTCTGCTTCTTTTCTCCTCCTTAGTTTTATGTTCTTGGATTCTGGATTTTGTAAACCACCACATAGCCAACAACAGAGGACTGGAATCTCAGTCCAGCCCCCTTCTCTCCCTGTGCCTTCTAACAGGAACTGGAGAAACTCCGAGGAGACATTCACTAGGGACCTTGCTCTGGAAGTGATCCCAAAGCCATGCACTGCAAAGCCTGCCAGAACACCTACCTCCACCCTTGTTAGGTCCAGCACAGAAAGGATTACCTGACTCTGAAGTGGTCCTCCATCATCCTTTCCATTCTAGCTTCAAAAGAGCCCTGATGAAACCTGCCCTGACAGCCAGCCCCACCTCAAAGGGCATTCTCTTCCTTTGATTCACATGGCCAGAGAGGCCATCCTTGGGAACACTATGAAGGCATCCCTTCTGAAGAACAGGACAGCTAGCTTGGCAGTGGTGGCACACACCTTCAGTCCTCACACTCAGGAGGCAGAGGCAGGCAGATTTCTGTAAGTTCAAGGCCAGCCTAGTCTACAGAGCGAGAGTCCCAGAATAGCCAGAGCTACACAGAGATACCTACTACTGTCTCAAAACCAAACCAGAACAAAAACAAAACAAATGAACAGAGAAGATAGTGCAGAAGAAAAGAAAGCTTGGAGCAGGGCAGTGATGGTGCACGCCTTTAATCTAGCACTTAGGAGGCAGAGACAGGCAGATCTTTGTGAGTTCTAGGCCAGCCTGGCCTACCTGAGCTAGTTCCAGGGTAACTACTGCTGTTACATAGAGAAACCCTGTCTCAAAAAACCAGAAGGAGGGAGGGAGGAGGAAAGGAGGGAGGGAGGGAGGGAGGGAGGGAGAGAGAGAGAGAGAGAGAGAGAGAGAGAGAGAGAGAGAGAGAGAGAGAGAGAGAAGAAAGCTTGGAAAGCAATGTCCTCAGTTCATAGCCCCAGCTGCAAGGAGTAGGCATGACTGGAGCCTGGGGAAGGGTGATGGATCCTACATGAAAATAACATTTACCTGCCGAGCAAACTCCCCAGTCAACCTTAGAAAGAGGGTCTCCTCCAGAGCCCCCTCATCCAGCTCCAGAACCAGAAGGTAGAGAACTCTACACCACTGGCAAGCAGGCCTTTTCCTGGAATAACTAATTGATGCTCCTTGGGGGACAGATTCCTTTTCTCCAGCCTGCAAATTTCAACAGTCCCTAGACATTCCCGGAGACTTTCTTTTTTGATTTATTTTTATTTTATGTGTAAGGGTGTACTGCCTGTGTACAACCTGGCGACCAGAGCCAGAAGAGGGTGTCACATCCCCTGGAACTGGAGTTGCCTATGGTTGTGTGTTGCCACATGGGTGCTGGGAATTGAACCCGGTCCTCTGGAAGAGCAGCCAGTGCTCTTAACCACCAAGTCCTCTCTCCAGCCCCAGACATTGTCTGTTTTATAAGGCCTACATCTGCCCACAGCATAGTGCCTTCATCTACTCTTCCAGTTTTGCCTTTTTCTCTAATAGCTGTCTTCTTTCCCAACACCCTAAGTTGCACCTTTCCTTTAATCCCTAAGAGTGTGTGTGTGTGTGTGTTCACACAAGCATGAAGATGGCTTGCATAACAGAAGGATCAAGTGTGTTGGGTTTACTAGGGAATCTGTGTGGATTTGTGGGCTAAGGGACAGAACTGGGCCAAGGTGGTATGTGCCTTTGCCTTTAATTCCATCACTACAGAGGCAGGGGCAATCAGATCTCTAAATTCAAGGCCAACCTGGTCTACAGAATTAGTTCAGGACAGCCAGCACTACAGAGAAACTCTGCCTCGAAAAACCAAACCAAACCACAACAAAAGAACTGTCTTTCATTCTGTGAAACAGCTTAGATATGGGGGAGGGGACTTATCTTCCATAAGGTAGGTACATGAGCATATGTTTGGATTACATATGCTCATATTTTTGAGAATGAGTATCAGTGATTTGGCTTGTAATACATTTGTATAAGGCAAGCATAGTGCTTTTTAATTTTAAAATTTGCTACGTTTATTTTGTTTTGTGTTACCTGTATGTGTGTGGGTCCATGCATAACAAAGCCCACATGTGGAGGTCAGAGAATAACTCCTGGGAGTCTGTCCTTTCCTTCCATCATATGGACTCTGGGGACCCACATCAGATTATCAGGTTTGAAGGCAAGTGTCTTATCTGCCAAACCATCTCATCAGCTTTAATGCTGTGCTTTTATTCAAAGAGTTGTTCTTATTTGTATATGCAGATGTATATGTACCACACCTTAAAGTCTGTGTTGGAGCCTGGCAGTGATGGCTGGCATGTGTCTTTTATCCCAGTGCACACCTTTTATCTCAGCACTCAGGAAGAGGCAGGCAGATCTCTTGAGTTCCTGGCCAGCCTGGTCTGCAGAGTGAGTTCCAGGAGCCAAGGTTACACAGAGAAACACGGTCTCGGAAGAAAAAAAAGAAAGTCTGTGTTTGCAGGTTCATAAATGAGCCTCTTTTCGTAAAGGGATACTGGTATACGGCAATATATATGTGGTGCTTAGATAAATTCCCTGTGTATTTTTGCACATGGGGCAACAGAGGTTTGCATGCATGGAAACATGTTCATAAGGCCTTGTATACCCTTCAGAGGCAGGTCCTGCACACAGCCTGGAAGTGCAAATGAGATAGCCTATTTTCTGTGTCCTCTCAGGAGCCTCCAAAACTAGATTCGCCCCCTATTCCCAGATTTTGTCCCAGTTCATACAAGGCTACAGTTTGAGCAGAGTGCCAGGAAAGGCGGGGCTCGGTACAGTCGAATCCCAGACAGCAGATTCCCTCCAGCAGCCTCAAGGGCCAGCAGGAGCTGTGGTGTCGCAACCAAACCGGGGCCCCTGGCGGAAGCGGAAGCCTGCGCTGGGGGTGGTGAGGCGCAGTCGCGGCGGTCGCGGCGTGCCAGGCTCTGGGCACCCGGCGGGGGCGTGCGCGCCACGCGCGTGCGGGGCAGGCTTGGCGCCAGGCGGCACCCTCCAGGCCCCAGCGTCTGTTTACCAACAAACTGCCATCGCTCAGCAGCTACGCATTCCGACGCGCTGAATAAGCGACCGGCGCAGGCGATCTGCTTTCCACTCCTCAGAGCCCAGGCAGCGTGGAGCCCTGCGCACCGGCGCGACCCGCAGAGCGCGAACACAGGTTCTGAGTCCGCGCAGCGTCTCTAGTCACCATGTAGCTCCCTCGCCCCTTGGCCATCCCAGGCCCAATTTCCTAGCACTTTGGACATTGTTACCGAGATTTCCTGTCTCCTCTTGTCTCCAGCAACTTGGAGTAGGTGCCGAGGAGCCGGGCCCGGGGCGTGCGCACCGCACCCCTCCCGTTTCCCGGGGTGTGCTAACTGGGGGGCGGGCCCAGATCTGGGCCTCCCTGAGGTCACCAAACGATAGCCAATCCCGGGTGTCTAAGTGGGCGGGGGACTCCGTGTGATCCCGGGAACCGAACCCGGAGGAGAAGATGGGGACCCAGAATTTAGGGGGGAGGGGAAAAGTCACGGGGCACCCCCAAAACCTCTTTTTAGGGTGCTAGCTCTCACCCAGAAGAGGCTTAAAGATACATTTTCTCTGGGATCTGAAGTGTGGGGGTGGCTTGCTGGGAGTTGGGAGGATTCATCTGCCTCAATTCTGGAGACTTTGAAAGGTGTTGGCATAGAGCGTCGACGGCGTGCAGGTCTATGACCTAGGCCCTGTGGCCGAGTACCGGCCACAATGACCTCTTTACCCTGTCCCCTTCCTGGCCGCGATGCCTCCAACGTAGTCTTCCCGGACCTCGCCCCCGCCCCGTCGGTAGTGGCTGCCCACCCGCTTGGCCTGTCCCCCGAAACCGCAGCTTCCCCCGATTTGTCCTACTCCCAGCCTTATGGTCACCTCCTGCCCTATTCCTACCCTGAGCCAGCAACCCCAGGAGACGCCTACCTGCCCAGCCAGCAACTCTCGGCGGCGTGGTCTCAGCCCTTCCACCCGCCAGTTGTGCACCCTCAGGAACTTGAAACAGGTAAGTGTGGCCGCGGAGGCTCTTCTCACCTCTGGGGTCTGCGTTGTGTTTTCAGAAATTTCCCCCTCTTCTGTTTACATGCGGCTAGCGGGATTCACATGGTACCCGGGTTCCACGGAATCGGCGGTAGGGGAGGGAGAAAGGATGGGGGAGGAGCGGAGGCCGAGTTGATCTAGGTTTTCTTTTTAGATCCGACCTGGTTTCGATTTGCAGTTTTGTGAAGCCGGGCGGGAGGGCCTCCTACCCCACCCCCTGGAGTAGTGGAGTTGTGTGTGTACCTCTGTGTAACGGAAAACTATCATAATCCGGATATGGGGATGGAGACCTAGCTCCTTTCCCGAGTTTCTCCTCACCCTTCACCCGTTTCCCTTACATCACCCTTCTCGAGGTCTGGTCCCAGAAACCAGTATGCGAGCCAAACACTAATAAACAGAAATCAATTCCCAGCAAGCAAGAGATAGGTAAACAGCTAGGATGGGATCCTTCTCCTTTCCTGGACTCCACCCCACTTTTTTTTCTAGTGGTACCTAACTGTTTGGTAGCTGGCTCCTGCAGAATCTGGGTGTAGGGCCCTATCAACCATTATTCAAAGAATAAAGCTACAGGCTGGTCAGTCTCAAAGCCTTTCCCTGGCCACCTCAGCCTTACACCTAAACCATCACCCTTAATTTAGGGATTGATTAGGCCCAGTTCCTGTTGTTGCCTGCAGCAAATCTGAGCTCCAGAGAAAGCACTCACTAGAAGGCCTCAGTGAAGGCAAGGGACTAGCTGGCCTTCCTAGGCCTGACTTTTGCACAGCCGCACTGACCGCCCTTGGCTGGCACTGCGAGGATGCTGGCTATCCATAGACCCCGGTGTACAGACTTCCCAGTCCCTTTGCATTGCTCTTGTTGCCCTTGGCGCGCTCCCAACCGTGCACATCTGCCGGATGACTTTGTTGTAGTCAGCCCCAAACCAAGATGTTTCTCTCTTTTCCCCTGTTACTCTGACATAAATTTATGAACCCCCCAGAACCAAAGTCACTTAGAACGGGGTCTCGAATTCCTTGTTTTATGTTTGGAGAAACTGAGGCAGGAAGAAAGGATGCAAATTCATTTTCCTCCAGGAATGGAGCCAAGGAAGGGGGACTTTAGGGAACTTCTTTAGAAACCCAGAAGGTTAACCCCTTCTGTTGCAGAACTTGGGGTGGGTCTCCTGTGTTGCTGGGTCTGGTTGAAGGAAAGGGGGGGGGAGGCAGAGTTTTTACATACCTCTTGGACTTTCTTTTTAGATATGCTAATATACACTGGGGAAGCAGAAACAGGAGGATCCTGAGTTTGAGGCCAGCCTGGGCAATTTGATATATGTGGTGTCTGTGCACATGGGGATCCCGATCTTACCTCGGGAGAACTATTCTGGCAGTAAGGTAGAGTAGTCGGGTCTGTCTTCCATATTCTGCCGTCCCTTGCTTGGTCCAAGAACAATGGAGTGGAAAATTCTTTCGAGTACATTCTTTACCCGGATCCAACGAAAAACCACGGACTCCGGACACTGTCATTCACGAGCAAGTACGTCTTTAAAATAGACCCTAGCATTTCACTGTTGGAACTGTGTGGACCGTTCCGTTCCTGAATGAACGATTGGAGAAGAACAGAGGGCTTGGGGTCTACTACACCCACACTACGTGTGCAAACTCCATCCCCGGGAGGCTCTTGGCTGAGAGAGAGAGAGAGAGAGAGAGAGAGAGAGAGAGAGAGAGAGAGAGAGAGAGAGAGAGAGGAGAGCCTCACCAACACCCCGTTAAGGCTGCGGGTGCGGCGCCCGCGCCTCCAGGGAGGCCCTGGGGACCCGTTATCGCGACCGGGGTAGATCCAGTTGTGACTTGCCACAACTAGTATGGAGAAAGGCAGCTGTCCCGGAAGGCACCTGGAAGGTGACCTGCTCTGAGAGTTCAGCAATCCAAACTGTCTTTCTTCGCGCATCACCACCCGAACTGCACGGTCCTGGCAATCTCCGTGCAGCCAAGGAGGCGCTGGTGGTCGCTTGGCTGCCAGCCCCGGGCAAGCGGTGGGATCGAAGCGAGAGAGACTGGACAGCCTCGAGCGGGAGCGGAAACGTAAAGCCTTTTCTGGGAATTGAAGGGACCTCAGAGCCCGCAGCCCCCAAGGCCACGGATGAGAGCTGCGGGGGAGGTGAAGGCAGCGGTGACTGTGGCCTGTGGGCGGGGACCCTGACGCTAGTCTAGGGATGAATGAGGAGCAGAAGGGCAGAAGCTACTCCTGCCATGGGGGGTGGTGTACGGGGACGTTCTGCTTGCTCTTGTCTGGCGTCTTCACAGCAGACAGGCGGTGAATGGGGCGGCTGTCACCCGAGCATTTTGTCCTTGTAGGCAAGCATTTTGCCTCTTCATCCACCCACTTCTCTCATCCTCTTGGACAGTCTCAGTATCCCATAGACGGGCACAGGTTGGAGCCCAGGTTTCAGGAACGGAAACCCAAAGCCTCAGTCCTGACTCCACAGCCCATAGCTGAGCTTGGAGAACCTGGCTGACAGGCAGGGGCGGAGTGGGGGTTGGGGAGCAGGACCAGATCCCATTCCACTGCCCCGCAGCTGGGCCAGAAACGATCCTGTATTGCGGTCCCTGATATTCTGGACCTGAGTGGCTTCCCCTGACTTGGCCTAGAAAAAGCCTCCTCCGAGTCAGATGTCGGAGGGAAAGAAAGGGATAGTCACTTTTACAGCAAGGTACACTAAGGCTCCCCGCCTTGGTATTGGCATTTGAGGCAGATTTATACAGACCCCTTTCAGAAGTCAGAGGCTACCTTCCTCATCTTTAGACCTTAGCTCAGCCCTCCACAAGTCTTTTGCCCTGGCTCTTATCTAAGCAGGTACCACTGTAGCTACTGAATTCCGACCTCCCACGGTGGGAGCCATGGTGGTAACTTCAACAGGGCAAGAACTTCAGCTTGAATCTACAAGTCGCTGGTGTAAATTTGTAAATTCAAAAGGCAGAGAAGGGGCTGGAGAGATGGCTCAGAGGGTAAGAGCACTGGCTGTTCTTCCAGAGTTCAATTCCCAACAACCACATGGTGGCTCACAACCATCTGTAGTGAGATCTGGTGCCTTCCTTGCCAGCAGTACATTGTATGCTTAATAAATAAATAAATCTTAAAAAAAAAAGGCAGAGAAATAGACAGGGATTCCCCCCACCAATACGCACTGAGACCCAGGTTGTTGGCTGCACTGGTTTTGCTGATTCCCCATGGCTTGAGCCTATGGAAATACCTGACTCACCTGGTCACTCCACAAGCTTACAACACAGCTTTCTGCTGCCTCCGAGAATCAGAAAAACAGTGCTGTCCCAGCAGCCCCTGACCAGGAAGCTGCACAACCAGAACCATCTATTCCAGCCTGCAGCTGCATGAACACCTGAGCCAGCATTTCCAGCACACACAGTACTGGCCCTGTCTGAAAGCCCTCAGCGCAGCTTGAACTCACCCAAACCCAAGTAGGGCCAGCCCCATCCCCAAGTGCAAAGCTTCCCAGTCCCTGGTTTCTGAGACCCCCAGGAGGAGACCCATGATTCTGCTGACAGCTCTCCACGGATGTCCACAGCTGATCGGCAGCAAGGGCATATACTAGAGGAGAACTGGACACCAGAAGAGGAGGGCAGCAGACCGGAAGTTGAGACTGAGGGCCTTCCAGAACTGGAGGGCTGGAGCGAAGGTTCACAAGGCTCACTCTGTAGCTAGGTCCCTTTCCCATTCTCAACGCTTTCAGGGACACTTCTAATGTATCCTCTTCTTTTTCTCCCAAAGGTAAAGATTGGTTTCAGAACAAAGGCTCCAAACAGAAGAAACTCCTGCAACAGAACTCAGGAGAGCAGGAAGAAGACTTCCTTGGGAGACCCCCTCCCTGTCTCCCTGCTCCCCAAATCTTTCATCCCTCTGGGGTCTACTCAAGGCAGGCGCCCTGCCTACCAGTGGCCATGGCAATGGCTTCAGAGCCTGGTATCAGCTCCCCAGATGTGCGGCTTCTGCCTCAGATGCTATGAGTCTAGAGAAGGGGCTGGTTAGGCTCCAACCCTCCTGTCAAGCCCAGGACATCGCACCTGCTCTCCTTCTGGGGGGAGAGGAAACCAACTCCAGATGGATTTTCTCAAGACAAGAAGCAAAATGAGAAAAAAGAACAGAGTGGGGGTCTGGATCTCCAAGCCAGATAGCTAAATCAAAGGCTTTAATCTTTAGTCTGTCCCCAGTGCTACCATGGACTGGACATCTCCTCCCTCTGGCAGGACAAAGACCTTAGAGAGCGGCACTGGCCAGAGTTTAGACTGCGATGGTCTTGCCTCTCCTCCCTCTTCAAATGACTGCAGCCCCACCACAGCCTAGGATCTAAGCCAGGAAGAAAACAAATATTATTTCTAGCCTGCACCTTGGGCCCTATCAGCCCGTCCATGAACAAATCCAGAAGTGGACACAGTCTCTGTTGTCGGCCATAAAGCCTCTGTTTTTCATCTACCAGTTATCAGTGATAGTCAACCCGTTACCTCCCTAGCTGGAGGTGCGGTCCAGTGGTAGAGTAAGTGCTTAACATGTAAGAGGCCCCAGCACCAAAACAAAAATATGGAGTGTTGGCCTGGCGGTGGTGGTGCACGCCTTTAATCCCAGCACGCAGGAGGCAGAGACAGGCGGATTTCTGTTGAGTTCGAGGCCTGGTCTATAGAGTGGGTTCCAAAGCTACACAGAGAAATCCTGTCTTGGGGGGGGGGTGGGAAGAGTATTGGCCTGTGGGCAATTTGTGCTTCTTTTCAATGGCCCTCTACTCCTCTATCTATCCATTTTGTGTTGATAAATCCTGGGTTAAATCAACAGGGGTGGATTAAGAGCCTAGGCCCACTACCTTCCATCCTTGATACTAACGAGTTCAGCTGCTCATGTTCTTGGAAGCCCAGGAAAAGAAACGGGACAGATTCTCTGGATCATTGCAGGCATAGCTTCCTCCAGATAATGGGGTGGGCTTGACACTTCAGCCCCTCACGGTTGCCTCGACCCAAGGAACTGTTCCAATTCACCATTATTCTGTCCAGCATCCCCAGGGTCTTGCCATCTCTCAAATCACAAGCTTTAGAGATTAAAATGTATACAAAAAACAGAACAAAGAATCCCTCAGAGTCTTGGGTGTTATGTATGTTTGTATCCTCCGTTCATCCTGGTTGCTGGCGGTTGCTCATTTTTCTCTGCCCTCTGATACAGCTTCCCCTTGACCAGAAGTCATAGATACTAGATTCTTTTTTACAGCGATTTATTATTTTTATTTTATGCGCTTTGGTGTTTTGCCTGCACTATGTCCGTGTGAGGGTATGTGGGTGCTGGGAATTAGACCCAGATTCTCTGAAAGAGCAGTTGGTACTCTTAACCCACTGCGCCATCTCTCCAGTCCAACTGTAGAACCTTGTTATGCCTCTGCCACCAGCTAGCTATGTGGTTCTAGCTCTGGAATGTCCTAGCAGTGCTCATGGCACCGTAGGAAATGAGAAGATGCTCAAAGAGGGAACGGCCAGTCAGAGTGGCCTTTGCCAGCAGTTACCTCCTGGGCCAGCTGTGGAGGAGTCAGGCACCTCACAGCCTCCATGTTCTACCTCAGTCTAGGTTCACCTTGGGAGAGCACTGAGCTAGACCTGTCCTGGAAGAAGCTAGCTGCGGGGTGTGGAATGGCTTTGGACTACAGAAAGGGATGGGGAGGAAAGACACCAGAAGGAACTGGAATTCTCCATCTAATGCACATCTATGGATCTCCTGCTGAGTAGATTCTAGGGGTACCACCCTAGTGACTGGGACAGATGCTTCAGGCTAACAGGTGGCTAAACAGATGACGGGAGACAGTGTGACAAGAGGTGTAGGGAAAGCAGGACAGAGGCCATGTGGGCACCATCCAGAAGCCAGCGTGGGCTAATGGGGTTAGGGCCAGGTGAGAAGGCTGGTTGGCTCCCAGAACATCAGGCATTGGCAGCATCACGATTCACTGGGTGCCACAGCTCCCAGCACACAGACAGCATGGGAGGTGGGCTGAGGACAGGGTCAGTCATTCAGAGAATTCAGCCCTGAGTAGCCCCAGGGACTGGGGAGGGGCCTCCAATTCCAGGCCAAAGGCTTCAAAGACTAGTTTCCCTGCCCACTGCCTGACCTGTTCCCCATCACAACAAGCTGAGGGCACCAGTCCCCATCTGAAAAGCCCAGTAGGACACTTTCAGCCAACCCCAAACTAGAAAGAAGCTTGGTTTGGGGTCACAGGGAGGACAGAGGGGCTATCACTGTCAGTGGACGTGTCTCACCTAGGGACGCCTGCAAGCATTCCTTCCCCAAAGACACACGGAAGATTTCCCTGTGAGCAGTGAGGGGTGAAGATGGCCACTGAAAAGATCCTTTCCCTTCCCCCTTTTCAAACCCACCCCTTGGCCCTGGGACCCTGGCTCCATTTCTCTACGGGGTGGCTCGCCCCAGACGGCTCCTCTGGGTCTTCTCTGAGGCCAAGGGCCCTGGGGGTAGCTGTTCCCTGCCGTGCAGGCTACACACTCCTCTTTCCACAGTGCGAGATAAGATCTACCGCCCCATCTCGGAAAGCCTCCAAAGGCAGATTAATTGGACAGCCCAACACGAGTCGCGTCGTTAAAACAACAGCCTGGGTTGTAAAGTTAAGTAGCAGTAGTGTAATTGCTCTCTCAGCCAGCGACCAGCTGAGCCTGCGGCACCCCCCTTCCCTTGCCCCCGTGTGCCCCCTTCCAGGGGAAATGAGCCTTTTTTCCATTTGGGAGCTGGTCCAGTTGCCTTGGACTTCTAGGTGGTGATGAACTGGAGGAATTCCAAGAGGACCTCACCTCACCTCCACCTCTCAAGATACTGGGGGAACCACGTGTGTTCTCCCCAGGATGAAGTTCCGCTGGGGGCACTGGATTGACAAAGGAAAGGGAAGCCTGAAGGTAGACTTTGGTCTCCAAAGAGTCCCAGCCGTGATGCTCGCTTTGTGACTTTTGGTGAGTTTCTTAACCTCTCTGTGCTTTATTTCTTACCTCCTCAGACAAGAGCGTTAAGGATAATAGGACTTGCTTCCCATTGGGTTGTGATGCTGAAATGAGATAGTGCTTGTAACTGCCTTGACGTGGTGCCTGGCACACAAGGAGCTCTTTATAAATGACCTTCACAGCTGCTGCGGGAATGACAGGAGGGGACAGCTCAGTTGGAGCGTGAGTTCCTATAGCCATCTAGTTACCTGCCTCCCCAAGGTAGGGAGGAAGAAGGATGGAGCCGGAAATACACCGCAGCACCTCTCAGCCAACACCGTTAGAGAGAAAGACTCAGGCTAGGTCCTCCCTCGAAAAGGACAGCTTCTCGCCCAACCAAAATCAGCCAAGGCCGCAGAACCTGCAGTGTGTCCGGGGTATGTTCTACCACTTCCAGGGTCTCAGCCCCAGGAAAGTGGCCTCCTTCTGGGTAACTCACCCCCCCACTCCCCTGTACTATTTTAAGGTATGGCCCCCCATCCTCTCCCCTGACCAAATGAGATTCAATTAATTCAATTAAAGCAATTTTGGAAGCAGCTCCTGAAGGCTTTGGATGTGAGATAATTACGAGTAATTTGCTTCTGTGAAGAGGAAAAGGTTATACAGGGTCTAGAGTGGGGAAGGAGGTAGCCCCCTCCTCACCAAATGCACCCAGATCTAGAAGGATTCCACCCGGCAATCTTAGCTGCCCTCCCATTGGCCAAATTGCTTGCAGGTGGGAAGAGGGAGAATGTGGCAGTGGGAGGCGGGTGAGAAGACACTGGAGTGACAGGCTGCCCCTCCTCCATCCCTGAATCCGTCCAGCCTGTGAGAGGTGGGGGTGGGAAGCTCCTCCCTCCCCTCCCCCACGACACTACTGGGCTCCATGGCTAGAGCAGCTGATTACTCAGCCCCAGCCTCCCTGGATTTTGGATGCCTGGGCTTGCCTCTGGGATTGGATCCAGGGGCGATGGAATGTTATCCAGGTAGCTGAGGCCTGTGGAGAGGGAGCTGCGGAGATCAAGGCCCTTCCTAGAATATATGGGGGATATGGGTCAGTGGGGTAGGAACCACTGGAGGTGGACAGTGACTGCTGGTTCCCAAGTCTTCTGAGAGATGCCCTTTCTGTCCCCTCCCACGATCTCTCCTCTCGTCTACTCCAGCACTCTCTGGTTCTGCCTGGTGTCTAATTAAAATCCCTTCCATCGTCTTGGTGGTAAATCTGCTGTCAGCCTTCTGGCCCCAGAGTCACTAGTTTCTTCCTCCCCCAAAGCGTTTTGCGATTTGGTGTTCCTGTCCCCACTCCCTTTACCTGGATAGTTCTTCCCTCACGGGCCTCGGGTCACGGGCTGGTGACAAGAAGGATGGAGTGCCCCATTCCTTGGGATCCCATGTTCCAGGACATAATGCTTTAACGATTAAGATGCAAAAGAAAAAGTCACTTATGCAGAAAAGTCTGCCGCATCCCATCTTCCACCTTTGCTCCTCCCATCCCAGAAGGGGTCCCTCAGCACCTTTTTCTCCCGTTGCTTCCAGGGCACCCCTTCTCCCAGCTGCAGGGCTGTTGGGAGTGGGCCCAAGGAGGAATTAATCCCCTCAGTGAGTCCTTGGTGGCTGCTGCTTCACAATGGGCAAGCTCAGAGAGGGGAACCTGCGTCTCTACCACCTCATGCCTCTACCTCCCATGCCCCAGCCAGCTCAGACCCAACACAAGCGGAGAAACACAGAGTTCGTGTCAACAGGCCAGCCTGAGGACCCTGGGCAACAAGGGAGTAGCTTGGTTTGGGGAGGAAGCCACAAGGTCATCCTCAGTTACATAAATGTCCAAAGCCAGCCTGGCCCACATGAGGCTCTGTCAAGGAAGGAGGTGAGAAGCGAGAGAAAGAAAACCAGAAAGAGGCTGGTGTGTGATAGTATGTGCTTTAATTCCAGCATTCTGGAGTCCCAGGCCAGCCAGAGCTACATAGGGTGCCCTGTCTCAAATTAAATTAAATAGGGCTGGAGAGATGGCTCAGCAGATAAGAGCATTGGCTGCTCTTCCAGAGGACCCAGGTTCAATTCCCAGTACCCACATGGCAGCTCACAACTGTCTATAACTCCAGTTCCATGGGATCTGATACCTTCCCGCCAATACACATAAAATAAAGTTAAATAAACTATTAAAAATAACAATTAAAAAATGAATTAAATAAGTACATATCTAAAAAGAAGGGGGAAAGCCTGCAGTTTCTCTCTGTCCTCATTTCTCTGTCTCTATCCTTTTTTTTTCTCTGTGCAATGTGTGCAGGAACACAGATTTTTTTTATTTCGATCCTCTGGCTTTTCTCTCACCCCATCCTTTCCCCTGGCTAATGTTTTCTGGACATGCTTCCCTAGGCGCTGCTGGGGAGGGAGGTTGAATGGCCACAAATTGATAATTTCATTTTCTTGGCTCGTAGAAGCCTTGCCTGCCTCTTTCTCCGAGCTTGGGCTAGAACTCCCGCGCCCAGCTCCTCCCCACACACTTCAGGCTGACTCCCAGACATGCCCATAGCACTCGGTGCTGCCACTCAAAACTAGTTAAGGGTGGGGGCTTTCTTCTGGACTTCTCCATGGATCCTTCTGTTCCCCTGCTCTGACACCAACTCCAGCCTGAAGGAGGGACAAAGGGACCCAGGGTCCCTGGCTTGGAGCCTGTGTTTGCTACTGCTTACTGGGTGACCTGGACAAGTTACAGACTCTCTGCGACTCACAGGACTCCCTTTTGCTGGGGACTGTGGTGTTACCACCACTTCCCTTCAAGGCTAGAGGTTTCTAAGGCAGACTCAGAATCTCCCATTAGACTGCCAGCTCTCCAGGAAACTCTGCTTCTCTGGATCAGATAGGCTGTGTTCTGTGGCTTTGTTTTGAGCTACTAAGCCACTGAGCCTGATAGGGCCAGCCCAGAAAGGGGAAAGGAGTGGACCCCATGGAGAATGGCAGGTTTTCTGATTTGTGTCCTCCTGGTGCCAGTCCTCAGCTTCTCTGGCTCCCAAACGGAGAGGTGAACTCCCTTCCAGGCGATGGTGCCTTCCCTCAGATTTCCTCCTGAACTGGCTACCTTTCAGAGCTCAGCTGAGACCTTAGGAAGTCGCTTGCTGCTCAC